GACGTTAAAGGATGAGAATGCGTTGGGCAAGCAGAACACCCTTTTACTGTTATGACCTGCTGCAAACGAGATGTATAACCAGACACCAACTTCTGGCAGCATTTCTGAGGATTCTTGAGCAATGGCCTCCAATTCAGTAATGTTCTTGGGATTGTGTGCTGCAACTCTCCAAATCCCACTAGAGATTTTGATGGGTTCAAGTCAGGTGACTGTGATGGCAAAATGACTTCTTCTGTAGGCAGAGGGTTCTTTATGATTTATTATTATTCCACCAGACATTCCACTGATCCATTCAGCTGAAAAGTTCCACTTTTGTTTCCTAAAACTAAATTAAAGATTCCTAAATCTTCTGGCTTATTTATATGATTTTGTTCAAATTGGGGCAAATTGTTCAAATTACTAATTTTAAAAGTACAGCATTTGTAAGTAACATTATTTCAGAATTACATTTTAGAATTTCAGAAATTATTCTGAACTCAAGTGCCATCTCACTAAATGAAAAGAATTTGGGGGGAAAAGGAGGCTTTAATATTCTGAGTGAGAACATGCAAATTCCGCATTTCAAAAATAAAGCCCCAATCATCAGTCGGTTTTACACCTTTTATCACCGTCATTTTTGAGAAGATTGCGACTCAAATCCAACCCCCTCAAAATCATCTTTCATGCAAGACTTTTCAAAAGCTCTATTTGAGAGGACCATTTCCATGACAACAGGACTGGATTAGGTTTTAAAAAAAAATACTTGCACCTATTGCAATTGTGAAGACCCTTGATTCTCAAAGGCACTTGATTTCTGAGGGGAGTGAACAGAGTGGCTTAAAAAGAAACACAAAGGAAAACCAGACCACAGCAATTTCGGGATAAAATTTGAGTACTATATTTACATGTCTTTTCCATTTAGACAATATAACAAGACCCAAAAGCTTTCGTCATACAGAAGTAGGTCTACTCTTTTTTTTTTCTTTTTTTTTGGTAGAGGTGTGCAGATTTTCCATTTTACTTTTGGTTCTGCCTTCTCACCTCCATTCTCTCACAACATAATCAATCAGCATGCAATGGACTCATGAATAGGATAATGAGGGGAACCCCTTTAGCTTCCTAGCTGTATGGCATTCCTTTTAGCGCTTCCTTTCACTCTATATAGAGCCATTCAAAACAGCAAGGTTACAATCTGATATATTTTAATGCAGTATTCTATGTTCAGAAAAAAACAGGCACCACAAAATGTAATGTACATTTGTCTATTAATATCTCACAGAAATAATTGATGAAGTTAAAAGGGATGCACAATTACATACATACAGAATATATATATTTATATAAGATAACAAAAAATGCCAAAAGTACTGCAAATCCACCTCAGAAATCTGCCAAATGACATATTTGGCAAGGCTATGGCCTTGTCAGAGAGAGACTCAATCTGGAGCTGATGCAATCATCCAGAAGGCCATCCAGTGGGCTAGAAAATTAGGTCAAAGAATAGTAAATCTTATACTGAAGGGTTAAGTTCATGACTGATTGGGGAATTGGCACTAGGATCCTAAAAGTGCATGATGACCCCATCATGGTTTCGCAGCTGTACCAGTTGTGATATCATCTCTGATGCCTTACATGAAGTTCTGCTCTGTTTAACAGCCATAGATTGCATGTATTTTTGTGTACCAGAGAAAAAAGAGCTCAGCAAAAAAATGTAAACACAAAAAAGGCAAATAATGTGAATTAAAGGCAAAAAATGTTGATGATAAAAACAGTTGAAGGCTACATTGATTAGTAAATGTAATTGTCACATTGGTTCCACAATGAGGCAAGTATTAGAGGATATGTTAGCAGCAGTCTTTATCAAACTGAATAAAACAAAACAAAACACCCTGGCACAGGAGAACTACTCAAATATAACAAACCAGCCTTTAACATTGAAGACACAAAAAACTGACACAGGCAAACAACGAGGCTAAACGAGACACAAGTGAACACAATGGGTTGCTATTGAAACAAATGAAGAGCGGGAAGAATGGGAACAAATGGGAAAAAAATGTGAAACAAACTAAGGGTATGCTTAAAGGGGCATTGTGTAGGAATTTTTCCCATCTAGAGGTGAAAATGTATTTTGCATTCAAACAAATTGTGCTCTCCAGCACCTCGCTTTTTCAGATGTGGGTTGCATAGCCATTATGTACCAAAAAGCTCTGACAGGATGTGTTCTAGCACTTCGTTGAGTGTTCCTTCAGGTGAACTGGTTTGTTATTTCAAACAAACAGCAACTTGACACAACGAACAAACTAATGTTACAGTATGAATTACTGACTGTGTAAAACATGAACTATTGCAATGAGTAGTTATTCTTTCTTTATTCGTTATATTTTCTAAAGTAAGTGCATTGTTAGATATCATCATCATCATCAACTTTTAACAATAAATGTTCATCTGTCTATAAAATAAAGTACACAACCAAACAATGAAAAAAAGCTTGTAATTGTAATGTAACATTGACTTACCTGTCGAGAAGAAAGCAGGCAACTTTAGCGTCTCCTTTGAAATCTTTCTCCTGCATTAGCTCTATCCACCTGTAAAAAGCTATCCCGACATTAACTTGTGTTTTTTGTAATCTTCGGTCAGGTCACGTTTCCTTTTACAATCTATTTTGGACTTAATTTTCTGGTGAAAAGGATTTGCAATATCACTGCTCTGCTTCTCCGTTTCTGCTGCTTTTAGTCACGTGACGCTGGCCTAGCACTTTTGGCTCAAACTGAGCTTGACAGTCTGACAGTTGTAAATCTTCTAGTAGCTGTACTTCCTCAAAAACGTTGTTGAAATTTTTTGTCACGTTGCTTTTATGGACTCTATGGGCTTCTCCCTTGACTTTGTGCCTCCATGTCCCCCTGATTGCCTCATAGACAGTAAAAGATTGCCAGCGTGCTTCTCCTCCTGTCTATACGGTAATGTCTCTATTGTGCGACAGAAAGTCCTGTGGTTATAACGCAATCTTTAGCCTATTTTTACAAAAATGGCTTCAACGGGGCCGTATATGTAAGATACAAATTAATGGAGAATTTTACACATTTTCGTGTTTCTTTAGAAATACATAATGGACAAGTCTTTGGACACATCAGATGTAAAGCTATTCTCTGTCAAAGTGACACCAAAATGAATGGGAGTCAATGGAATGCTAACAGCAGGTGAAGCCTTGCTACGATGGTGGCTTATGCGAGGCTTCAACTTCTGGCTGATGGATTACCCCCTTGCATGGAAGCCTCCGTGGACCTACCCATCCCATGTATATAAAGATAATAAATTCTTCGTTTACAAGTGTAAGTCAGATAATTGGCAGAGGTAGGCCTATTTGTACACCGAGGACATATTTATAAAATAAAAATATTGATTTTAAATATACAGTACATAAAAAAGTACACATTGTCCCTTTAAATAAAAATGATGGACTAAAAACTGAAACATTTTTCCTTTGAAAGGTTTTGTGTCGACAACAATGTTGTCAAAACGATCATTGTTCAGGGATCCACAGAAACGACTAAAAATGCTGTGCATGCCAGGCCAATAGTTGGCGGTGTCACTTTGTACAAAAAACACATGCCAACAGATTGAACACATACTGTAACACACGTGTTTTCACAAATTCGCATTGTGGTGGTTTACATCGAGAAAACAACGGTATTGTATATTAATTTAAACATAATTATGCATAAAGAAGTGCGATTTGCACATTATTCTCCATAGACAATAATCAAATTCTTTACAACAGACAGGTTAGCTTTCTTTTTTATAAATACTGTACATTTTTTTAACTTAACATAACTTTTAACTTTTTGTAATGTAACTTTTGAGCATGACGTTTTAATCCTCTGTTCCACATTAATAATGGTTTTGCACAAGAAATTAACACTGGAAATAACACAAATAACATGGATGAAGCTTTTATTTTAATGAGTTGTAAACAGATTCAGACTTTGCAGTCATCAGGTTGAGGTGAGAATTGTTTGAATTCTCTGGAAACACTGTTGGCTCTAGAGGATGTTCCTCTGAGATATGTGCTTGTAATAAAAAATGCATTGGTTAAAGCCATGGGAACCTGAGTTTGGCTCTGGGATTTATAGAGAGGTGTCTGGAATGCTTGGTGAGATGTTAAATTGTTTCTGGCAATTGCTTTCATGTTACAGTGGCAAAGTAAGTCCCAGAATGCAAAACATCTCAACAAACTGTTTAAATGGCTTGCGTTCCTATTTCCTTCTTAACTTGTACTCTGTTTTGAGATGAAATGTCCCCAAGCATTCCAAAGCTTGGATTTCCGTTTTGCCAATTTCGGCAACAACGTCACTACTGGGATTGAGGCCTCTGCCTGCTTTCCCTTATCTCCAATGAACAGATGTGGGAGTTTCACGCTGATTCCTCCCTATGACGAAGAGGTGATGTGTCTTCATGTGTCAGTACTGATTTCACAACACAGCCTTCAGCTAAAGCCTCTTAAGGCTTGAGTAAGTGAGTCTGCATCCATCCCTGTGCAAATCACTGATTTTATTCATGCAGGAAACTGAACAGCACAGATTAGATTTCATAATTTACCTTCACACTTACCCCATTACATGAAAATTGTGAAACTGCACCTGAGGAGTATGAGAATTTTGAAAGTGTCCGTAAATTTAAATTTAAATAAAATAAGGGAATAAAAACTATTAATCTAATCTAATATAATATAATCTAATATAATATAATCTAATATAATATAATATAATATAATATAATATAATATAATATAATATAATATAATATAATATAATATAATATAATATAATATAATATATACCTAGGCGCATGGAATGAGCTTTTTACAGTCTATGGGTATGAGGTTAGTTCTTGATATGAATGAACCGGTTCAAATTTACGATTCACTTGAGAACCGCGAGGACCGATTCAATCACACCATTTTGAATCATTCATTTACCAGATTGAGATTCAAGCTTGAAGCTTCAGCAACAAAGCCAACAGAGATGGATTGTGTCGTGTCGTTGGTCGTTTAGTTATTCTGCGGATTTAAACGAGTGGAGGGTAAATATAAAGTAACGTTACCTGTAGACAATTTATTCAGACCAACAGTTAATAAAGAGGCCTTTATTTTGGAGCCTCCAGTAACGTTAAACTAAGTTTTGAAGTTTGCTAGCGCGGGTTTTACGTTAACTGTATGTCATATTAGTGAGGACAGGTAAATATTTGCAACATATAGCCCTTGAAAATGAATAATTATACATATTTAAATTAAAAATAGTTATTTGTTACTTCACAGTGCTTAACAAACGAAGCACTATTAACACGAAGACGACCGAAAGAGAGCGCGAGAGTGCCCTTATCACTGAATCTTGCCAGTTACGTTACTTGTAGTGAACTGTACATGAATACTGAAGTAACACCTGCTTTGCTCTTTCGTCAGCTTTCTCATCAGCACTATCTGCTGCTCATCTCAGGACAGTGAATCTGTGGAGCTGTTTTTAGAGCAGACAAAGTGCCTTTTGTCGCCTGTGTCGTGCTTAAGCGGCGGGAAAGGCCTGAGGCTCAGCATTAGTGCGCTCAAAGAACTCTCTTGTCAAGTGGGATAGCTTTGATGAGTCCTTAGATTGCAGAGAGCTGCTGCCTTACAGGCACGTGCAGAGGGGGGGGCGTTGGGTGCTCGAGCACCTGCCCTTTTGCCCCTTGGTGCCCAAAGTGCCCTTTTGTCAAGACAAAATTTCCTCTCCTTTTTTTGTATTTAAAGGCACTTTTGTATATGCCTGCCCCATCTAACTAGTAGTAAAATGAATGAATAATAATTTAGCCGTAAATAAAATGACCCACATGATGACCTTTCACCTGATTCCTCACGCTGCACGCGCATTTTTTAATTTCGCGCGGCTACGCGCAATCGCGCATTCCAGAGGATATCTTCAAGTCTTGCGGCTGCTGGTAAGTGGTGTTTTATTCTCAGCGAAGTGATTTTGATGTTTGTTTACTTATTATTATTATTTTACTAGAACGACGTGAAGAGAGCATGCAGAGAGATGTCGTTTGTATTGCTGTGTGTAGGCTGTAGAAGTAACGTTAGCTTGCTGTTTGAGGGAGAAAAGTTTCACGGGCGTGGAGGGGTGTTATTTGACTTAAAACTATTATTTTTACTTTAAACTATTATTATTATTACAGTATTTATTTAAAAAAATATTTTCACATAAAAATGATTATCACAACTCTGGTAAGTTATCACATAGGCTTACCAGTTATGTTTTGTGTGCAGAAGCCTCTGTGAACATCTGCCCTAGTAACGTTACTATTATATACTATTATTGTATTATATACTTTAGCAGCCTGGGCAGAATCTGTAGCTTTAGCAGGTCAGTGAACTAGTGAGCCAGTTCCAAACACTGTCAGCAATCTTTACATCTTGACATGGTCACATAAAAATGGTTTATTCAGCTAATACCCTATATTTCTGTTTATTTTAATGTCTACAGTCTCAGATCAACTCCAGCAGTATCAGCAGCAGCAGTAACAACATCAACAGCAAAGGCAGCAAACTCACTTTAGAACAGGCATCACATTAATGTTTAAAAATCTTGTAAAGTATTAATTGCTGTTTCTGTTTGCTTTGTTTTTTATTTTCATTGTATAAAATGTAACTCTTGTATTTTTGTAAATCAGTTTTTGCCATGAAAATAGCCACAGATGCTGATATGCCATTAAATAAAACTATACTGTACTGCACGAAACATGGGCCAGGTTGATTTTGTCCTACACAGTTCACTATAACAGCTGTTCTTTATTATTCTGTATAACAGAGAAGAAAAAGCCATCAGGTTGGAACAACTTAAGATGCTTCAGTTTCTAATCCCAGAGTTATATATAGAGCACATCAATTATTTTTTTTAATTTTAAACTTTAAATTTGTCTTTTCTGTTCTGGTTCTTTTTCAAAACTCCATCAATGCATTTGCTGCTGTATCGATGCAGAATCATCTGTATTGATATATTACTGTATTGATATTTTGAGCACAGCCCTATAAAGCCTTGTTTCCATGTGCCCCATTTTATACTTTGAGCACCTGCCCCTCCAGAGGTCTCTGCACGGCCCTGCTGCCTTATTTAACCAATTTGCCCCATCTGCCCTGCTATGGTTAACAATATCACTCTTTGTGTTTTACTCTGCTTTGGAAAAAGAACTTATAAGCAGTCTCTTTTTCACAGTCTTCTTTTCTCAGAAGAACATTTTTGTTCACATTGAATGTGATAAATTCTAATGTTCCCTCTTAAGTTACTGCGGTGACATTACGGTACATTTTGTTCTATTGAAGTATTCATTTTGTGTTCCAGCATGAAATGTGACTTTGTATTAGAGGTATCAGTCAATTTTTTTTTTCACAAAAAATGAATATTTTGTCATCATTTCCTCACCGTAATATGTTCTAAAGCTGTACGAGTTTCTTTCTTCTGTTGAGTAAAAAAGAAGATATTTTGAAGAATGTTAAACAGAGTTGATGCTAGCCATTGACTATGGAGTATGAAAAAAAATACTATGGAAATCAATGGCTGCCATCAACTGTCTGGTTATTTACATTCTTCAAAATATATTATTTTGTTTGACAGAAGAAAAAAACTCATACAGGTTTGGAACAACATGAGACTGAGAATGAACAAATGATGACAAAATTTAGATTTTTGTGTGAAGTATCCCTTTAATGAAGGATTTCCTAACACTTCCTTGATTACATTTTTAGATCTCAGCACTTGGTTTTGATGAACAGAAGTTAGTCTGCTCTTATTTAGGTTTCTACCTATGCATGTGGGGAAAGATGAATATTAAACGCCTATTGTAATTTGCCTAATATTAAATGCCTAATTGTGATATTTCCAGATTTGGTTTCAGTTCAGTATAATTACATCCATATTCATGTTCTTATAGGAGAACCATGAGTGCCAGAAACAGATCCTGCTCTTCCTCCGTCCTCCAGGCATGCAGTTCATCATCGTTTACTAGACAACCTTCTCGTGTGTTGATCATAGATGCATCGCCACCCTGGTGGTCAGAGACATGCACTGTTCTGTGTCAGGCCCTGGAAAATTTCTTTTTTCTGGCCAGTAGTCTAGCTGGACCTGTTCGTATGCCACTGCTTAGTGTGTTTGCCATTAGTGTACAGCTGGAGTGCCTTCTACCCTTTGTGGTGAGGATAAGTATGTGTGTATTTGTATCCATGTTTAACTATGTGCGATACAGTAGGTACTATGTGTTTAAAGGAACACTTCAACTTTTTTGGACTTTAGCTTATTACATGTTGTGATTTGTATAGTCACAGAGTGTACAAATCACAAGGTCATATGAGACACTGCCATCTTTTAACCGTATAAATATTGGGAACTATATTCTCAGAAGGCAGCACTGCTACTTGGTGATAACCGCAGCACCTGAAACACACCGTAGTAGTGCTTCACCTTCTGAGAATATAGTTCCCAATATTTGTACGGTTAAAATATATCTGGTTATTATAAATATGCGGTTAATACTGTATATATATTAAAAATATGTCTCATATCTCATATTACCTTGTTGTTTGTACACTCAAATCACAACTTGTAAATAGGATTTTTTTGTGTTTTTTTTTTTGTCTCTTGTTGGGATTATGCTAGCTGTAACCATTTACATCCAGTCTTTGTGCTAAGCTAGACTAGCGGTGGGTGCGTTAGATAGTGTTACAGCACGCACGGTGATGAAAAAGGTATGTATGGACTTATCTAACTCTGGGGGATACAGTGAATAAGCTAGTCCAAAAAAAGTCAGAGTGTTCCTTTAATAGACAAATAAAAGTATTTGTCTTCTTTGCCTTCCAACCTGTTCATTCCTTCATCTCATTCTCTTCTCCAGCAAGTTAAGGGAAACTTGACACGTTTGCTGTCCTGTGTAGAGGAGCTGCGTTCTCTGCCTCAGGAGGGCTGTGTTCGGCAACGGGGGGCACTCCTTAAACAGGCGGTGCTGGACAGCCTGCAGCAGTTTAAACAATACATGTGCCATACAGCTCATGGGGACATCACTAGCAACTATGTGGAGGTGAGAACTTCCACCATTAAAACTTAAATTGCTTTGAATTGTGTATTTTTAAGGAAAGCAAAACATGTAACTTCATATTATAAATGAGGGATCTCATGAAGAGGTCAATTTGGTCACATTTGGTGGCTGCAGGACATATTTCATAGATCCCTGTGTATTATAGTAATGAAAATCATTAAAAAGTTAAAATACCCAATGAATGACTCATACTAATGAAAATTTGGGGGTGAAATGTGCTCAGTTGTCCTCAAAATAATGTCACAATAATGGGTTATTTTGATTTTCACCCATAAATGCCTTAATCTCCTATACAGTAATCAGTCTTGCTGCCCTGGTTACTTATCCTTCAAATCAACATTCACTGCCCTTCGATCTATGCATTGCTTCCTGGCTTCATTTTAGAGTAATTCACCCCGCTGCTTTGTTTAAACCTCACATAACAAGTAAAGAAATGGTCTCGTCTGTATTGGGCCTTTCAAAGCACAGGCATTCACATTCAGATTTCCTACCAATGAATCCAAAGCTCATTTACCCTCTACTATTAGCCCTGAATGAAGATGTTGGTGCACTGACACAGACCACATGGCCCTCAGCAGCCACTCTCCTCTCAGCAGGCTCCATTAAAACCCAACACTAATGCCCCACCACAGGAAGCACAGCAGAGGACAAGTGCATTTAATCAGATTATACAGAATATTTTTTTGTGCTCTAAATGGGATTATATGGTGTATATGGATTTGGTCTCACTTTGCTGTGACACAACAGAGCTGTTATAATTATGCCAGAGATGTCTATCATAAGAAGAGAGAAATGACAGGAGCTGTGATGTATGCGATTGTAGCACTCTCTTTGCGACACTCTGTTCAAATATGCAACAGATCATATAGCAATGATTTGTACACGTTATTTATGTGGCACGGGGCACAGCTTTGATGACTGATTTATTTGTATCCTTCAATTATGTTTATGGTCTCATATTCTACACAATTAAACCTCAGAGAAGATGTTTTTGTGCTGTGTAGTTTGTGAGTTATTTCCCTCTGAGTTGGAATTTAGATCAACAAGAGAGACAGCTAATGATCACAATCAGCTTTCATCCGTGCAACCATAAAAACAGGGCCTTTGGCTTTGTAGCCTTTTGGGTACAGTTGTGTGAGTATTGTTTGGAAATGTCAGCAAAAATTTGGCATGACTTGTGATTTATTTTCCTCAAAATTGCTTTCTTTTGGGTATTTAAATCTTGATAATCTAACAAAAATTGGGTTGATAAAAGGAATTGCCTGCTTAGCTGAGTTTTGACTTATCAACTAGATTCTAACTGAAGGATTTACATTTTTCTAGGTGACTGTATTAACCTGTCAGTCAGGACAGATAGTCCTCAAACAGCTGGAGCAGGGTCTGAAAAACTCTGATCTGATGAGTCTGCGCAGGCTTCTGGTGGTCCAAATCACATTACAGCAGAGTTTCTCAGACAGATCTCTAGCCTGTGGCCTTGAGACACCATCTTCAGAAGATGACCAGGAAGGTAGGAGGACATATTTAGTCATAACATATTCTTAGTCAGTGAGAAAGTAGATGAGCATTGGCTTTTGATGCTCATGAAATATGGTCATTGTGTTCTGCCAACCATATGATTAACGAAGAGGTCAACAAGCAAACAGACATATTTAATACTTTCAGTATCGAGAAGAAAAAAAAAACGGCTACATAAAACAAAAAATCTCTATTCAAAAGGGGTTTTGGGTGATGCTTTGTACTGTGTGCACGTTTCTGCCAAATCTCTGAGCCCTCTCTTGTTTTCTGCATAATTATTTTAATTAAGGTTTTGCAGTCTCAGGATTTCATACCACAGACTGTGTAAAATGAGATTCCCAGGGTGAAAGAGCAAACCAGACATCAATTCAAAAACGGTGCCAAACATTCAAATCTCTGTGTGAACTGATAGGTAGCAATTTAGAAATCAAGGGAGGGCAGGGGAAGATGATTCAAATATAGGGGATGATAGGGCACGTTTATATCTGCACATTTATAAACTACATGAAATTATATATTTGCTTAGAATTAAGGAATCTCTCTTTCTCCTCTTCTTTAAAGTAAATCGACTAGTAAGTGAGTTGCCTGAATGACTTGTTGACCAGTTGGTTTTAAAGAACCATTGTGTCCTTATCTGCAATCTCATTTACATTTAGTTTTTCCAAATAGTACTTACTTCTAAAATTTGGGTGGCACACCCTTAACACAATGATTAATAGACTGTCATTATAGTGAGGCATAGTGAAGAGTGTAAGATTGTTAATTTAAATTCTAGTTGGTGTGTGGCAGCTTTGGAATTCAGAAAGTCTGGTTAGTTTAAATGTATCAGTTTCCTCTTCTCTAAGCTGAATACTTAAGTGCCTTGAGTGTGTTGAAAGTAGAGCCCTGCACGGGCCTCAAATCTAGGCCCTAGCCCGGCCCTGGCCCGAGACGTCCAGGCCCTAGCCCGGCCCGTGTCCGACAGCTCATCAGAATGATCAGCCGAGTCCGACCCGAGCCCGTTATTTATAAAAAAAAAAAAAAAAAACACCTTACACAGCCTGCCCTGTTGCAGCAGTCATTTAAACAGATATGTTTTGTCCTCAATGGCAAAGTAGTTACCTTTTAGATTATTTTCATTTCTTTATAAAGTTAATTAAGACAAATGTTTCTTTTTATTTTTTTATGACGACCAAGCACCCGACAGCGAGTTAAACATGTTTGATCCATTTATAGCCTCTCAAATCAACACTTTACTTGGCTACAATAACATCCATAGATATAAAACAACTTAAACATATTCACAAAGACAGTTAACGTTAGTTTAAACATTTGTTAAACGTTTATTGTCATTTTTGAAAAGCTGAGGGAATCTGCTCTGCTGCTCGCAACAGCGCTCGTAAATGCATTTACAATACAATACAATAGCCTACAATACAGAGAATGCAATCTAAACAAATCAAATAAATTACATTAAAAACAAACATGCAGATTATCTTACCTCAAAAATCAAGTCTTCACTACAGAACATGGCCATTCGTATTTCCAAAAGTTTCCAACAGACTCATGAAACTAAAGTCCAATCAAACAAAAAACAACAAGACAACCTCCTAAACAGTCTCTTACAGAGCATCGTGCAGAAAAAGCACCGTGGAAAGTTTTAATCCAGTCGTACTTTTTCCAGCTGCGCTGAAGTCACGCTCACAACTTCTGCTGCTAGCGGGACACTAAACACAGAACGAGCCGGTCGCGCGGATCGCGTTGCCGGGAAACCTGTGTGCGCGTGTGCGTGCCGTGAGCAGACTGTCAGTCATATATGTCAATATGATAGGTTATAAAACGTCTTTCTATGTTTGCTTTTCAATAGTCATCTTCTCATATTTTATTTTAAGTAATATCTAAAATAGGCTATAAAAAAGATAAGCCTAAAACAGGCCCGAGGCCCGGCTCGCGTGTGAACTATGACGTTAAAATTGGCCCGAAGCCCCGCCCGAGGAGTGTAAATAAGTCGGGGCCCATCGGGCTCGGGCTGAAATGCAGGCCTCTAGTTGAAAGGGTGGAGTGCTCTATTAAAAGAGTAAATCTAGAGCAAACCTATTTAGGTCTTTTCTTCAGTTTCAAATTTTCTCACTTATATTTTAGACACAATATTGACTGTTTTTGTTCTATTTCAAATGGAAAATAGTTCGAAACAAAGATTACCGCAGATTCAGAATCATAGCGCATCTCACAGCAACACTCAGGAGTGTTTCATTACTACATGATTCAGTGTTTTTTGAACAAATTGGTTGAGTCAAAGATTCAATGACCTTTTTATAAACAATTGCCGCATTCTTGAATGAATCATCCATCGAATTCAACAGCGCAGTCTCATCTTTTGACCATACGTCAACATCCGCCTTTTTAGGGTACCCTTAAAGGGTACATATCATGCTTTTAAATCATTAATTTTTACATATAAATCATACTGTTGTCGTCTATATAAAACATAACTGCAATGCTTGGGTCTGAATTCCTCATTATTATAGCTCCACAGGCCCCTTTTCTACCCCTTTTCTGATGTGCATCTTTGAGCGACCTGTTTCAATGCGTCCCCTTTAAATAAAAAGGAGATGTGTCACACCCCGCCCGCTCTCCAGGTCGATGAGATCACGGTCAGTTCAACTCCCCACGTTCGGCCATTATTGTAGTTTGATTAGAGATATACGATACCTTCAAAGAACATTTTTATTCACACGTTAATAAAATGTCAACAACAGAAGACTTGTACATCAAGCCTTACATATTCGAGCCAGAGCGAGCGAGTTGATAAAGACGACGACGAACCTGCAGAACAACCTCTTATGGATGTATTGGTATGTGAGTTAACTGTTTTGTGTTATTCAGGGATGTGATTTTTCCGGATTAATCCGGAATTCCGGATTTTCCGACCTGAAAATGTGACCTGCGTGAATCATGCAGATCAACAAAAAAACAAAACAAAAGAGGGGGCAGGTGTCGGCAGCCGGAGGGAAAAGTAGAGAATATGAGGACATCACCCATAACTGGCTGACGTGCGTACAGAAAGTTCCTTTCAAAGTATCAACAAGGACGTATTTGCGTTCAGCCAGAGAATGTCTAATTGGTTCAGCTTGTTCACCTGCTCAATTTCGTATCTCAGTCGCTCTCACGCTGGTATCGTTGTCAGTTACAAGAACATCACAGTTAGGTCACCAGGCCTGGGCGATACATGGATATATTTCAAATTTGCGCTATGATCCTTGCTCCAAGCAAGCTTTTGTAGAAATATGTAGCAGCTATATGTACACCTCCGTCTCAATTACAGGGTTTCCGCGGGGCATTAAAAAGCATTAAAAGTCATTAAATGGATTTTATATATATTATATATAAATATATGGGGTGTAACGGTACATGTATTCGTATTGAACCGTTTCGGTTCGAGGCTTCCGGTTCGGTACGCATACAAACCGAACGATTGCTTGGACCATTTTTCCTGCCGGCAAAATTCGTGCTGACGCGGCCAACACAACGTTTCGCAACATCAAATGGCAAGCGTAATGAAAGCAGAACGAAACTGCGCTCCTCGTTATGTGCTTCATGGATCGTTTATCAGTTCGGACCAGCAACATCTGTGCAGCGCGAGCCGATCTCGATCAAGCAACACTGTTACTTCACAGCGCTAAGAGATCCGGTAAAGAAAACATTTGAATTCGCCACTGAGGTAATAACATCGCTGCGAGATCTAGTGAGATGGATTCACATTTCCCTGTTATTAACCGTAGATCTCTATTAGATCAAACAGCGCTGTCATGGAAACCAGAAGAAACATTGTGACAGAAACAACAGTGAACATTGTGAATGAACTAGTAATACTTTCGTCCACAGACCAGCAACATTCACCATGGATTTAATATAGTAACACTAACTGGAACCAGTTTGGCTGGAATGGTGAAATGCTTTCAAGTACTTCACACATCTTTTTCCAGCACTTCAAAATTCAAATATTATATAAATAAATATATATTTAAATGTTATTTTTAACGTGATGACCAAAACATTATTTGTTCATCCTTCAAAGATGACCCCCATTTATAAACCTGAAAGTTTTAAGATCTAGGAAAACTCATACTTATTTAAAAATATTTTTTCTTTAAACAAATAGGAAATTTCTCTGGCATTTCTTTCTTTTTGCTGTATCGAAAATGTACCGAACCGTGACTTTAAAACCGAGGTACGTACCGAACCGTGATTTTTGTGTACCGTTACACCCCTAATATATATATATATATATATCCGTGGTTAGTCATGGGTCGTGTATGGCATTATTTTTTTTTAAATGGCATTAAAACGGCATTAAAAAGGCATTAAATTTCATTTGAAGATACCTGCAGAAACCCTGAATTAGTGTACAAAGCGACAAATACTCGAGTCGCAATATTAACGCAGAGGAACGGCTACATCAGTTCAGCGAGTTCACAGTTAATTTGCATGTGCTTTAAAGCCTTGCCAGTTAAACATGTCATTCACTGCTGATGCGCTGTTCTGAGCGCGAACACCCGACGTGCACATGCACTAAAAGCTTGTCTAACAGCGCCTGGTTGCTGGACTAAGTTATCTTTCGAGTATTATTTCGCTAATACTCTCAAATACACACAAGGTTTACATAAGAAAATTGATTCTTGATTGATTGATTAATTGTCTAAACTCAAAGCAAACCGATAAAATTGAGAGAAATCTGCTTGTCAAATGCTCCGTGTATATTAGACGTGTTGCGTACAGGTCTTAAAGTGACAGTAGCCCTAATAATAAAAATGCAGCCGCTTGTTCTTAAAGGGATAGTTGACCCCAAAATAAAAATTATGCCATCATTTATTCACTGTAATGTTGTTCCAAACCTGTATTAATTTATTTCTTGTGCTGAACAAAAAAGAAGATATTTTAAAGAATGTGGGTAACCAGACAGTTGCTGGTCCCCATTGACTTCCATAGGGAAAAATTTACTATGGAAATCAC